TCTTCCATAGTTTACCTTGACTTTGACAATTACCTATAAAAATATTTCTGAGTATTATTCATAAATTTAAAAGTCTTGAAAACACTTTTTTTACATTTGTTTATAAATACATGTTGGAAAATAAAACCCATATCGTCCATTGTCTAAAGCGCTTTCAGCCAGTTCTTTAGCCATTGTTTTGCTGGAGGTTTTTATGTGTTGACTGTGTGAGATGTATTATTTGTGAATTCTAGTAGGAACGTTAATTCCGAGCCGGCGTGTGTTGAGCATGACTGGAATTCGAGTAGACCACTTTCTACTTTTTAAAAGACTTTTAGGAGGTCACTTTCATTATAAAACAAGAGGAGGTTGATGGCAGGGGAGAGTAGTTTGGTGTACAGGGCGTCTTTTATTACAACTCTAGTATTTTCTTCCGGTATTTTTCTTAAAGGTTCTTGTAAATTGTGGGTTGATAGATGTTTTTTTATGGCACTTTGCTCTGATAAGTGACACTTGAGGTGTCGACTCAAGCAGGTGATCGTATGTCCAATATAGGTAATTGATTTATGGCTTAAAATACAGTCTTGTACTGGGCAATGAAATTGATACACTACATTGGTCATCGCTAGCTTAGATTTGATGGGGTTATTTTGATTAGTGACAACAAGGTTTGCAATTTTTTCATATTCTTTAATTTATTATACGTTTTACATTTTTCGAAAATTACGATAGAAATATGGTGTTTAATGATTTTCCGTATGGCGAATTAGATTGCCTATAATTATTGTGCATCTGGTTACCGTAAAATATGTTGATGTTTTGTTGCGTGGTATTTTCATTATTGGTGATGTCTACTTTTTGTAAGAATGATTTTGTTTGTTTAGCCATGATGTAGCTGGGGAAAGTATTGTTGACTAATATTTGTTTTATGTATTTTAGTTCGCTCTGGAATATTCTTTGGGAAGAGGAATTTAGGTATGCTCTATTTATGAATTGTTTACACCCTCACTCCCACCAAACGGAAAAATGTAAGAACGCTGGAAAAACTAAATTAAAAATTAATAAAATGTTCCTTGTCTGTCATATATAAATAAAATAAAATGAAAAGCAAATAATGAAGGAACAAAAATATAGATAAAAATTTGGAAATGTATTTTTAACAAAAATGGGTTTCATAAAATTTTTTAATAGCTGAGAGGGAAAAGGCGTATACATATATAGATGCACATACGTACATAACAGTGTGTAAATATACACAAGCCACCAAACAAGTACATAAATCTCCATACACGTATAGATATCAATACAAGTACAAAAGTAATAAGTATCTTCACTAACCTTCCTCTCTCCTTACATAACCTTATATGTAAAGGAGCCATAGTGATAGATTAAATGATGGGATGAAGATTGTTACTGCAATGGAAACCCTCGGTGTACAGGGCAATCCTTCTATTGCTGACTAGTCCGCCATGAGGGAAATCATAGGTAGCAGAACATAAAATATAGTAAGTAGGTGGGAGATGACTATTAAAAGTTTAGAAGGAAAATTGCCAAGAATGCCTGTCTGCTAGTTCGGCTAGCCAATTCCTGTTGCAGACGGCTTCTCAGGCACATTTGTCTTTGTTCAACGCCCACAGAGACACCTGTAGTTTTTACTGCAACTATGCTGAGCGGAGATTAGTTACAGTTAGAGCACATCATCTGGCATGATCAACAGTTTGAACAAGGCCAGTACGATCACAGCCTCGGTCACGATGACTTGTGACTTCGTGCTAGAACAACCATCGACGAAAAATTCCGGCTAAGTACCTGTTACCCGGAGAGCTTGCTCTTGGTAAGCGTCCTAGACATACATCCAAAAACATTTCAAGGTTGTTGTTACAGACAGACTGAAAAATCCTGAAAATTCTTGAAATTAGTATCAAAGACGGGGGAAAAGAGTCAGAGAATAGTTATGGTTGGAGAAAGATAGTTTTTGATGCTTGCAAGGTTTGAGAATTCGCAATTGAAAAGAACACTTAGGAAATGTTATGTAAGATTTGATCACAAAGGATATTTAGGCTTAGCTTTTATGCAACATCTGCAGGAATGATGTTCCATCTCGTACGAGACTTGACAGTCATCAAAGATTGCATTAAAATCGGCAGTCTAATACAGACTGGGTGAAGTGTCTTTCCTGACAGGTTTGCTGGGTCAGATTTGTGACAAAATCTTTCGGTCTGCTATCAAGCAGAAGCGGCCCATGAGAATGCATGAAGAAAAAGCCACTTTCAAGACATATGTGAACCTAGCTTGCAAAGTCATATGCGAGCCCATAGCCGATCAGTTCAACGGTAAAGCGATGGCCATCTTCTATAAGGAAGTAGCACTTTTTACATTATTCGGACTATTGTCCTCATCTTTGTCGCCATATTTGACGGCTGGAATGTCGAACTGAACCCTTTATTTCGCTCACTGGGGTAGACTGTTCTAGTTTCACGTATCATGTTTTATTGAATGTCAGTTATCAGTTATCTCCTATCAATTCCCCTTTCCAAGTTTTCCACCGCCCTAACCAGGTATGAACTCACACTCTTTGGGTCCTGTCACTGGATCTAACCAACGCCTTTATCCACTGTGCCAAGTGTCCTTGAGGGTTGAGGTCGACATTCCAACCACCTGAAGAAGGCCGAAGCGTAAAACGACCGAAACGTTGTAATAAATATGGCGATAAAGATAAGGACAATAGTCCGAATAATGTAAATAATGAGAAATATGAACAAATACTGAAGGAAGTGGCAGTTTTCACATATACAGTGGACTTTTGTATTGACTTCGACACATAAGGGCTATACATTTCAATTTAACTGAACCGACAGCTGATTTGACTACAGTAATAAAGGCTTGTATAGAACTGTCAACCAGTGATTTCACTTTCCGGCCATTAAACCTTCATTATATCTTCTAACCTAACTAACGAGTTTGTGCAAATGGTTGAGAGAGATAGCGAAAAGACAAAATTTACTATATGCGACAAAGGACAGGAAATTGTGGAGAGCAATGATCGCCAACGCCCTGAGAGACACGTCAAAGATTTGCAAAGCCTAGTCCAAAACTACAAGTCGCTTACTCGCAACTGGTGTCCTTAAGTTATTACTCATATAATTACAGTCTAGCTGCAGTGTTGCCTAACTTCTTGCGGTCAAAATTTTGAGATTGACTTGCCCAATATGCACAATTTAAAATTGAATAGTTAATTTGATTTTTGTCGGAAAGAAGTAGAAAATAAAAAATAGAATAGAAGGAAAGGTTCAGTTATAAGCAATTTCAGGTTTGGACAAGCAGTTGCAATAATACATGTATTATTGTTTTGTGATGTATGGTGGCTGTTAATAATTAAGTATAACTCAAGACTTCAATGTTAAGATAAAACAGTATTTAGTTACAATCCCAAATAAATACTTAACAAGAAAAAGAAGTAAAAGTCAACCAAAGATAATTAACCATTTCAGTGAATACCTTGTTAGTAGCGCGGCTCGGCTTAACGACCGGTAAATCTTAAATCAAAAGCCAAATCTTAGACGCACAATACTCCACACTAATTCGACTGGATAGTTCCACTCAATAGTCACTGCAGTCAATAGACTGACAACACTATTTATACGCTTGGTGGAAAACATATATTTATAAGTCCAGAGTGCCACGCTCGAACCTCGGTGTCGGTAGTTACTTATTTTCTTCCTATATGACATATTGACAGTACAGCCTGTTGTCGGTTGTCGTGATTAGAGAATATTTAGTGTGAGCTAGGTTCCACCATCGCCAAACAGACGCAAACAGTTCTCCAATCACGACGATCCGTTATATGGTGGGATTCATTGCCACAAACGTCGGTTGGAACTCAAGTTCACTCCAGACCTCAGGTAGAACTCATATATATGAGTTGCAGGAAAAATGAAGAGTTATACCACTTCCGAAAGTATTTGGCACTTACTAATATACACTATCGTTACATGATTCATATCAAACCACAAAATGTGATAGTGCTGCCATATCTGTGCTGGGGTTACCTAATCCACATTTTGCAAGCCTTGGGAGATTTCAAAATCGTTCGCATGATCTTGTGGGTGACTTATTATTTTCAATCCTGCAGCCCCTTTCCTACGGACGCCACATACAACTTTATCGCTATTTCCATGGCAAATGTTCCGACAAGTTGCATTCTTTAGTTCTACCAGATATGCCATGTCACGTAGCCAGTCATCCTCATATCCTTCCTATTCGATTATTAAGAATAATGTTCCCGTCAGACAGATTCTTATCGACAAACGGTAGTTGCTCCTACTTCGATGCATCGCAATGACTACAATCTTGACCTCATCATGTCTGGTGTCAAATTTTATCTATCCGGCATACCATAATCTTCAAATATTTTCTCTTCTTACGTCCATACAAGCTCGTTCGGTCACCTTCTAACTTGAGTGGCTCTTGGGGCTTGCATTAGGTGAATATTTAATTTAAACAATGTTAAACTCAAAATGCTGTGGATTCACAAGAATAAATCTCCTTAAAGGACACCAAAAGCTGAGCACCATAGAAGAAAGACAATGTTGTATGTGTCGTAGAATCGTCGGAGTGTTATTCATTTAAAATTTATAAAATGCACATTCATACATCCAGAAACTGTAACCTGCACATAAAATTTTGATAGAAAATCGACTTTCTCTCTTCAATATGGAAACAAGTTGTTCTCTTCGCTGACAACTTAATACAGCAAGAATAAACATTTTGCAACTTGGCTGGTCTGTTATACCCCACTAGCTATATTCACCAGTTCTTTCACAGAGAGAATTATCTTTTTCGATCTGTTTTGATGGGGAAAATATTATCTAATGAAAACCAAAATTTGACTCAAAATCTCTTTAAGAGCAGCCTGATAAATGGCAGCAACTCATTGCAAATATGAATAAAATATGTGTAGTTTATTTTTTAAGAAAATAGCTGCTGAACAAAAACGGAAATTATTTATGACTCAAGAGTACTGGAAGAAAACAAAAAGATATTAAACTGAGAGAAAGATAAGCAGAAAAGAAAGAAATAGAAGGAAAGAAATAAAAAAAATATAGGATAAGAAATAAAGAATGAAAAAGTGAAGAAGTCAAAAAGGAAGAAAAGCAAGAATGATTGAAAGAAGAAAAATCTGTTGAAAGAAAAAAAATAAATAATCGATAACTTCAAAGTATAAAATAATCGATATAAATAAAGTTTTGATAACATTTCGCTGTAATTCCTTCGAATAAAAAAGAACCATATCCCGACAACTTTCTTCTTCTTTCACAATGGGCACGTAGTTAGAACGTTCGCATTTTGGCCATGAGACGCAGGTTCGAATCTCACCACAGTCAAATTTTGAGGATTGAACCAAGTCTTGTGAGTGGAATTTTGTAAACGGAACCCTTTGGCAGTCGTCGATGGTTGTGCTTAGCACGAAGTCACAAGTCATCGTGACCGAGATTTTAAGCGTGCTGGCCTTGTTCAGACTGTTGATCACGCTACATAACGCGCTCTCTCCCAGAAATTGTAAATAAGGTCCGCTCACTGTAGATGCAGTATAAACCACAGGCGGGTTCTGTGGATGTTGAACAAACACAAATGTGCCTGGGCAGGCTCCTGCAATGGGGATCATCTGGCCGCCCTAGTAGACGGACATCCTCGAATACGAGTGGCCAGTCATCCATATCTCCCTAAACATGTTTAATTCTTAAATTTCAGTACCGCCTCAAGATCACCTCAGTTCATATTTGCCCGGTATTGAAATTTAAGAATGAAAATGTAATACCCTTAGGATGTAATGAGGGAAGGAGAGAAACGTCGAACAGTCTGACTAAAGAGGTTATGTGAATAGGTGAGAGAGTGGGGTCCAGGATAGAACTCAAGCATTAACAAGGGACTACAAAGGACTAGAACTTGTAAAGCTCTAGGATAGCCCACATCATGATGGGACCCGACACCAACAAAAGCCCGTAACCTTCTAAAACCTAAAAGGGCCGTTGAAAAACAGTGGGTGAGATTAACATGCTAAGAAAAAAACTGCAGATGATCCAAATTATTTTTCAAACTGTCTAGACTAATGCACCCTTGTCGTAGTGACATGGGTCCTTACCTATAAATACAGAATGAATTCTTCCTAACCCTATGTATACTACGCCTCTCAAGAGAGAGGGACGAATCAAGCCGAGCTTTTCGGCTTGACGGTCAAACTCTCTGCTTTTGAGCAGAAAGGAACCCGGACGAGGTTCCGCCGAAGGGCAGAATCTCGTTCGGGGTGAAAGACCTACCCTGATCTCGTTTTTACGAGTCATACGGGCATATTTTTGGCTGAGCCTACGGGCTCAGGAAACCCACGATAAAAATGACCTTGTGTCGCATGCAACCCTCGTGGGGGGGTGGCTAGATACCGAATCAAGCCGAGTCGAACTCTCTGCCTCTGAGTAGAGAGGAACCCGGACGAAGCTCCGCCGAAGGGCAGAGTCTCGTTCTGGGAGATTGACCACCCGATCACCCGTTTATACGGGTTCTACGGGCATTTTTTGGCCGAGCCTACAGGCTCGGGAAACCCACGTTAAACTCGGCCTTGTGCCACATGCAACCCTCGTGGGAAGGTGGCTAGATACCGAATCAAGCCGAGCTTCTCGACTTGACGGTCGAACTCTCTGTCTCTGTGCAGAGAGGAACCCGGACGAGGCTCCGCCGAAGGGCAGAGTCTCGTTCGGGGAGGTTGAGCAACCCGATTCTGTTTTTACAGTTTCTACGGGCATCTTTTGGCCGAGCCTACGGGCTCGGGAAACCCACGTTAAACTCGGCCTTGTGCCACATGCAACCCTCGGGGGGGTCTAGATACCGAATCGAGTCGAGCCGATAGTAGTTCACTCCAAACCAGACTGACAGTCATACTAACACCTTCCACATCTTGTATTATTATTTCATGTAATATACCTTCGTTATTTCTACTCTTGTGTTCGTGTTGTTCTTCCTTGGTCCTAACCTGGACCATAACACGTAGGTAGGCTTTTTTCGTTCATATTAAATGGCCGGACACTTTTCGCACAGATCTGTGTAAACACTGATTGAATCTAAGCATATTGAAACTTTAAAGGTAGCCATTTTTAACGTGACTGTCGGAAAAAATTGCTATTAATGGAATGGTGGAAAGATCTGTATGAACATGGAAACAAAAAACAATTTCAAAGAATGATGAGCAAATGAATAAAATTTTAAAAAATCGAATTAAATAATTAAATGTGGTAGAAAAATAAACCTCAAAATGCAAATTACTTAAAGCGAAGAAAAAACACTGTTGGAGTTAGTGAAAACTTTAACAAGCACAATATATATATATATTTTTTAATGCAAATATATATATATATATATATATATATATATATATATATATATATATATATATATATATCATACAAATATATATATATACATATATAATAACAACCGTGAGCTTCCCTGGGGAATTACCATGTCTTTTTCTCATACAAATAGGAGACATTCGTGATTAGAAGTGTCGTTCCATTACTAGAAATACTGTATCATTACATTTCCTGTCGAGATAACGATTTTTTTTTCCTCTCTTTCTTTCCTGAACTCTGACTTCTCTGTTTGTGAGCTGGAAATAAATTCGCTTCATATCGGTCGTCTCTGACAAGTTGTCGTGAATCTATTTAAAAAAAGGTTTCCTTATTCTCCTGCGAAGGGCTCTCTTTTTTTTCTTTTTTTTTTGGGGGGGGGGTCGACTTCATCACGGTCCCAATCTTTTTTTATTATTATTATTATTTCGCGTATGTTACTCCCAGACCTCAAACACTGAACGCTTCCAATTTCCCATTCAACTTTATAATTTACAAAAATGATAGGATAGCTCATAGATTTTATAGTGCTAAACTTCAACGCTTACACACACATACACACGCACACACACACACATAGATAGATAGATAGATAGATAGATAGATAGATAATATTATAATAATACACACACAACACACACACATATATATATATATATATATATATATATATATATATATATATATATATATATATATATATATCCCAAGAGGATAGAATCCAGGTAGAACTCAATGTCCAGGACAGAATAAGAATAAAATAAAAATGGCACTAATATTCCATGGTTATAATTTATTACATTGGAATCGTAATTACAATTAAAACTGGGATGTCTATTTCAAATACCAATATCCGCTATAATAATGTTTGAAGTAATAAAAAGTACAAATAATTCATTAATTCTTTAGAAATATATATATGTGTGTGTGTATATGTAAATATTTATTCGAATATGTTTCGTTAAAATAAACTTTTTGTTATACATTTTAATTTAATATAAATTCTGTATATTCTTGATCAAAATTGTTGATAAACTGCCCAAAATTCATGTATTTTTCCAATTTCCCTATTGTCTTTTTCCCGTTTTTGTTCAAGTAATTTCAATTGTCTGTCCTTATGATTGTCTTGTGTGTGTTTACATTCTCATATCGGTAATACCCAGTGCAAGGAAAGTTTCTAAATACTCGAGCCTATTATAATAAAAAACGAAAACATCCACCCTAAATAAACTACATTTCAACAGACGAAACTTTATTTTGTATAGAATATTTAGTATGCGTATAAAAAAATAACAAGGCGGAAAAATACTTGATAAATTTTGGGCAGTGCAATCGATCACCGTAAAACCATGTCTTACATAATGTCACTTATATTATGTGCGTTTATATATATATATATATATATATATATATATATATATATATATATATATATATATATATATATGAATTAAATTTGAATTTTAGCATTCCCAAAAAATTGCTAGGACGTAGTCAACAAAATCTTGTCCACCATCCTGATAAAATTAAGTACTTGATAACTGGACAAATATTAAACCGACGGACCCTGTATGTTGAATTTAACAAAATTTGTTTCATATATATATATATATATATATATATATATATATATATATATATATATATATATACACGCATATATATATATATATATATATATATATATATATATATATATATATATATATATATTATCCTCCCGTTACTTAAATGATTTTACAGTTCAAAGGTTAGCGTTTGATGTAAACGATTTATAGGATTTGTTATCGTTTTCTGTTCATTCCTAGGCTCATATACCGGGAGTAACACCAAAATTGTACAATTGTTATATTAAGCTTTCAACCGTTGTATCTTAGAAATGATTAAAGATATCTTGCTGGAATTTTCCGATGTTTTTATAACGCTATTGGGTTTCCTCTCTACTATTCCTTCTTTTTTAAACTTATTCACCGTTCTCTTGAGGTTTTTAAATGGACTTTGAAGATGGAAGCCTGAGTGTAAATGGTGGTACTATTACTGAAGGCCTGAATGATCTTTTACCTCTCACCATTGCTCAATTTCGAAGACATAGTGAGACTAATGAAAAATGATTTTAACCCGTTCTCTTTCTAGCTGAATAACTCAAAAGGTTTTTCCGTGATTTTTACGAAAAATGGTGTCAAGATGGCTGAATGTCTTATCGAAAAACCGGAAAAAGAGAAACTCAATTAATTTCGTCGTTTTTTAGATATTAAACATTTTGTGAGATGGACGATTATCCCCATGCATCTATAAAATATGCGAAATTGTAGTAGAAATTTAACCGCATCTATGAAATATGCGAACATATAGTAGAAATCTAACCTCATCCATGAAATATGGGAACTTTTAGTAGGAATTTAACTGCATCTGTGAAATATGGGAACTTGTAATGAAATCTAACCGCATCTATGAAATATGGGAACTTGTAGAAATCTAACCGCATCTGTGAAATATGGGAACTTTTAAAAGAAATCTAACCGCATATATATTATCTTTCCATTAATCACGAGAGATCCCAGCTTTTGGGAGATTCAAACGCTGATCCAGATTGGAAGGAAATACACACTTAACTCATCAACCAAGCTATCACGACATTTCAGTTTCTTTTGCATGTTTACCCTAATAATGGTTATTTTCACAATGTCAATCAGTCTGTGTTCCGGGATTATGCGAATCAAAAGGTTTTGGAATTGTTTAACTGAAAGTGAATTGAAAGTGTTTGAATCCATTTCATACAACTTAAACCATTAAAATAACTGGAAGAATGTAGAAACGTAACCAATTTACTGAAATCTTCGACAATATCCTTAGCAAATCCTTGAAACTATTTGGATACATTAAAAGATCCATTTCAGGGTTCGCTAAATTGTGTCTGGGGATTATGGTGTCTGGATAAAGAAGTGAAGGAGAATCAAAACAGAGGTCGAGGGATAACATAATTCTTGAGTGGTTGACAGTAAACAAGCTAATAAATGGCGGGAAATATGGTTGTTCGTAATTTACCGAAGGTAGATACGACTAAGGAAGATGAATGATTCTAACCTGCAGATCCCACTGTGAACTACCGTTGGTTGGTCGTTTAAGAGGCATATCAATCTCTATGAATTATCTTAATGATGAAATCTAACTATTTTTAAGCAATATTATTTTATTTGGGTATGGGGGAAATAATAATGGATTTAGTGATGCAAGTCTTACTAATTAACCCATAAATGGGGGAGAAGAGATGGTTTCATGTCTTTCTCGAGAGTACTTGTGCATAATTGAATATAACGAATACAACTGGAATTAAAACTCAATAATTCTGTGCCATTATCCATGACACCACCCGCACAGCCGAGCTTACAACAGCTGGTATTCCCAACCTGTGGACTATCGGCCTAACCACGCTTGCTATTCTCAGTTTATATACTGAGTATTAACTACAATTTAGTAAAAAAAATTGGGTTACTAAACAAGCATTGACAACTGCGGAATCATAAATATTAAATTGTAACTTTGAAGCCAATTATTGAATTCTCAAACGTTAAGGTTTGCTTTTATGAATACCTTGTAAGCTTTTATGCATTTTATTGGAGTCCCATCGATTTGGTCACTATGCCCGCTGTTCCTTACCGCGTAGTATTCGCTATCAATAATTCTGTGTATGATTTAATCAGCGTTGACTCTGTGGGAAGCGCTCAAGAATAATTAGTTTCTTGAATATTTCAAGGCTTATTGAGTTAATGAGGAACCTTGCCTGTGAGACAAGTGAAATTATTCGATGCTCTCTTGATACCTCTTCGAGTACGATAAATGAATAAAACCATTCACGCGTAGATTGATAAACCTGAATGAATAGTGTTGTCTTATACACTTAATTCAAATTTGTATACACAAATCGTATCTAGCTCAATGTATTAGCATTTCAAACAATAGTAAAAGAGTTTATTCGTCAATGGTTGCTCCTTGAATGAGGCCTTATGGTAGACTTAGTTTAGTCCTACAAATACACAAAACAATAGAAAGCAGATATTTCTGGATAGAAAAAGCTGAATATTCCAGTATATTGTAGCTTATTCATTTGTGTGCTATGGCCAAAAACGGTTACGGGACGACTGACGTCATTTTCGCCAAGTTGAAGAAAGGGCGAACTCAGAAGTTATATGCCTGTATATACTATAATGGATACAGATATAATCAGTCGATCAGAAAAGAGAGAGAGATTATTTTTTCGTTCAATCTTCCTCTCGTTCGTTCCGTTAACGATTATATCCAGATACAAACTAACGCGACACCTGATAGTAAAAAAGTTTCATTGCTTTTTTTTCAATCAAGTTCACCCCAAGCAAGCCATTAAAGCCAGCCAGAAGCAAGGGGTTACTGAGTGCGGAAGAGTTAGAAACAGGAACATTGCTAAGGATCGATAACTGATGAAGAGTAAATAGGGGGTCGGCAGATAGCGATTGATATTACATTTCAATTTTTGCAAATTAAACTTGGCTGTATAGCATGGAGCAGGAAGCGAAGTCCACAAGGGAGAAGTGCGAGAAAATAAACTGTTACCATAGAACTTACGGTTACATATAGCCAGCTCAATCGTAAATTGGTGAGATCTCGGCGCCAGTTTAGAACTGCGCTTAAATTAAAGAGTTTAAGCAAAATAGCGAAGAGCGATATTTATTGTACAGAAATGTGGCACAAGGCCAAAATGGGGAATGGGAAAAAGGACGGTCTTTTTCGGCCTTAACCATAAACTTATCTAGCTACAAACACTGACCCAAACGTACAAATAATTTTCCTAACAACAAAACAACGCATTCTTACTTACCTTTCTTACTACATCCACCATAATACCACATCGTCTCTATAAAAGTCCTAACTAATCCCCATATGTACAATTCATTGGCTGTGGGGGCAGCCAATGAATTGTACATATGGGGATTAGGCAGCCACAAACACTGCTACAAACATACCACAATATTCCTAACACCAAAACAACGCATTCTTACTTACCTTAAAACAACAAAGATCTAATCCGAACAATTACCATGAAAGTATATATAGAAATGTCAAAGGAAAGCAACCTTACGGCGGTGAGAAAGTGAACGGAGCAAAAACGCCAATAATATTGCTGATTCTTTGAATCTTATGAAGGATCTCTAGATAGATAACAGGAGTAAGGGACCATGTGTGACAGTAATATTCTAAGCCTGGAAGAATGGTAGACACAGATACTTAAAATAGACTATTTACATTA